CGTTTCGATGCCATGCTCTCGTGACTATCCAGAGTGTGGGCATCGTAAGAGACAAATATTTCCCTGGTGGGCGTTACAATACGTGTTCGTGGTAACAATTTACACATCCGATGCTGCCGTGACAGTCACTCCCGTCATCTCTTGGCACTCGTTTACAAGTTGCGAAAAAGATTGCTGCTCGACTTCTGATGCTTGCCATGGGGTAGCTGCTACGTACGCAAACCACCTGCACTGATACCCTGCGTCTAGAATGACGACCAGATATACACATTCTCTGAAGCTGAATAGTATCGCCTGGTGGGTTTGTCAAGACCCCAGAACGAAGGTGCTTGCGTCCTTCCTTTCTGTCCTGCGCAACCATGGGCAGCAACAATAGCCAAAAGCTGGCACCCTCAGTGGGGCAGAATGACAGAACCGCAGAACGTCCTGTCTCAAGATGTGAGCGCACTCCGGCGCCCTCGTGAACGCACCGACATCCTCGTGAACGCACCTGTATCATTCCCAGTTGCTCGGCGGCCTCATTCATCTCCCTGTATCACATCGGACGGCTTCCCCGAGTCAACCTCATCTGCGCCCGAACACAACATCACAGTCACCTACGGTACACACAGGCCAAACGAGGCAGGACCTGCGTCCCAGCCCTACGGTCACAGACAGCGGACACTAAACCATCGAGATATTGTGCGCGACCCCGGATCAGCATGCACCACCGAGGCTTAGCATAGCACAGCACGCACACAAACAGCAAGCCAGCAAGACACCCGCGACCGATGAGGTACATCGCAAGACGCCACCCATGTCACAGCATCCACAGACGGCAGCACGCGGGGGCAGTGTAGCATCGTCACGACAGATCAATATGTCCGAATCGGGACCGGCTTGTCCGTGCTTGTCGTACAGGAAGCCACAGTTGGGCGGGATGCCTCTCAACGTGGCATGTTTAGGTGATCGTGAGGGTGTGGCAGATCCGGGGGTCCTCGTCTTCTGGGCGCCTGGCTGTGTAGTCTTCAACCGCGACGGGGTGCACATGTGTGTGGTCCCAGCAGACCGGAGACGAGCCGAGTTGGGCTCAATCTGGAGTCCAAGCTCCGATGACTGCATGTGAGATGGATGCAGCCATGGGTACGGAATCTGTTCTGAGCTGCTGCTGCATCTTTCCACCCCCCCCCCATAGAATCGATAGGAAGCAACATCATTGAACGATGCAACAGCACTACAGGCCGGCAACTCCTTGATTGGCCACGTGGCAAGCGGGCTCATGGTCACGGGAACGGACCAGGCAATAGTGCTGCTGCGGCTGCCATGAGCGAGGCCACGACAAACATGTGCCCGGGGGTTAGGCTTCGTCTCCTCCTGCGACTTTTGACTATCGACCGATGCGCGCCCCGTCCCAAAAAGCACGTGTGTGGTCGCGATAGAGCCGGGAGCGTCACAGGGATGGTGCGTTGTAGTCGCCTGCCTATTGGACCATGGAGGGCAAAGCTCCTACTTCGCGAGCTGCATGCCCTGGTCGCTCAGGCGCGCCACGAGGATCGGCGTGACCGGAACCTTTCCCAGTCGAGCATGGGGAAAAGAGCCGAGCCCCCCTGGAGGTGCATATCGCTGCACATTTTGTCCATGATTGCAGTGATGGTCGACGTGATATCGATGCAGTGTGTTTCGGATGCGCCAATGGACATGGCCCAGAAAAGAAAGCAGATCGATGTTTTTTAGCGACTTTGGGTCGATAAGGCAGCCGCATGTCTCGTCTCATCTCATGCAGGGCGCAGACGAGTCGAGGCGAGGGACAGCAGAGGGGCTGGTGGTGCTGAGCAGCACGACGGCGATGAGCTGTCTGCTTTCTGCATGTGCAACATCTTGCTCTGCCCCTGGCCCAAGGGGATTCACAGGCTCGCTCACGATCGGGGTCGGGGCCGTGGAAAGGGCACGACACGAGAATCGACGAGAAATGCCCG